TTTGGGGATTTAACTTACCAAACTTTTCCTTAGCTTCTTGAGATGAATACACAGATCATTAATTTTTCAACATTCATTTATTTATTTTTCTTTTTTTGTGTGTGTCGCCCAGGCTGGAGTGCAGTGGCGCGATCTTGGCTCACTGCAACCTCTGCCTCCCGGATTCAAGCAATTCTCTGCCTCAGCCTCTCAAGCAGACGGGATTATAGGCACCTGCCACCATACCCGGCTGATTTTTTTTGCATTTTTAGTAGAGATGGAGTTTCACCATATTGGCCAGGCTGGTCTTGAACTCCTGACCTCGTGATCCACCCGCCTCGGCTTCCCAAAGTGCTGGGATTATAGGCGTGAGCCACGGCGCCCAGCCAACATTCATTTTTTTCTAACATATGCATTTGCAGCTATATATTTTCCTCATATTCAGCTTTAGAAACATAATTTTGATGTTATTTTTCATTATCACTGTTTAAAATATTTTAAATATCTACTGCAATTTATTTATTCTTTGAGTCACCAGTTATTTATAAATACATTGCTTAAATCCCAAACATTGGGATATCTCTTTGTGTTTTTTAAATTTAGAAATCGGGTCTTGCTATATTGCCCAGGGTGGTCTCAAATTTCGGGGATCAAGCGATCCTCCTGCCTTGGTCTCCCAAAGTGCTGGGATTACAGGCATAAGTCACCACACCTAGCTGGGATATTTCTAATTATCTTCTTGTTATTGACTTCTAGCTTAACCTACTCTGGTCAGGAAAGTTACAGTATTATTTCATTCCTTTGAAATTTATTGAGACTCCTTTTGTGGTCCAGCATATGATCAATTTGGATAAATGTCTCATATTCATTTGAAAAGCATGTATATTATGTAGTTGTAAGGTACACTGTTCTATACATATCAATCAGGTCAAGCTTGTCAATCACACTGTTCAAATACCATATAGCTTTATTGGGTTTGTCACTTGTTCCATCAGCTATTGAGAAGAGTGCTAAAAACTCTCCACTAAGATTGTGATTTATCTACTACTTCTTTTAGTTATGTCAAATATATTTGAAGCCATTTTATGAAGGCATATAAATTCAGAACTGTTACATCTTACTGATGAATTGATCTTTTTATTATAAACTATTCCTCTTTATTACTCTAGTAAAGCTTCTTGTTGTAAAATATATTCTTGTCATAAAGTTTATACTGCAGTTTGGAATACAGATTGATACCACTATTTCAGAAAACTGTCAGTATCTACTAAAGTTGAACATATATACATAACCTATGACCCAGCAATTTCTCTCCTAGAAATACACCCAAGAGAAATGCATTCATATGTGCACCAAAAGACACGTACAAGAATGTTCCCGGCAGCATTTTTCATAGTAGCCTCAATATGAAATCACATGCCAATCAATAATGGAATGGATAGGCCGGGCGCGGTGGCTCAAGCCTGTAATCCCAGCACTTTGGGAGGCCGAGATGGGCGGATCACGAGGTCAGGAGATCGAGACCATCCTGGCTAACACGGTGAAACCCCGTCTCTACTAAGAAATACAAAAAATAGCCGGGCGAGGTGGCAGCGCCTGTAGTCCCAGCTACTCGGGAGGCTGAGGCCGGAGAATGGCGTGAACCTGGGAGGCGGAGCTTGCAGTGAGCTGAGATCCGGCCACTGCACTCCAGCCTGGGCTACAGAGCGAGACTCCGTCTCAAAAAAAAATAAATAAAAATAAAAATAATGGAATGGATAAGTAAAATGTGTTATATTCGGGCGGGCATGGTGGCTCATGCCTGTAATCCCAGCACTCTGGGAGGCCGAGGCAGGCGGATCACCTGAGGTCAGGAGTTTGAGACTAGCCTGGCTAACATGGTGAAACCGTTTGTATTAAAAATACAAAAATATTAGCTGGGTGTGGTGGCGTGCGCCTGTAATCCCAGCTACTCGAGAGGCTAAGGCAGGAGAATTGCTTGAACCCGGGAGGCAGAGGTTGTGGTGAGCTGAGATGGTGCCATTGTACTCCAGCTTGGGCAACAAGAGCGAAACTCTGCTTCAAAAAAAAAAAGTGTTATATTCATACAACAGAATTTTAAACAGCAATAATAATGTGTTCACTATATTCATTATATCACCTATAACTAATGGATGAATTGTATATATTTATACTACACATTACTGCAGAATGCATTCATATTACATATAAAATACAATATTGAGTAAAAGAAGCCAAGCATCATGTCCAAGTGAGATTGACAGTAGGAAAAAAAAAGTGAAAAAAAAAAGAAGCCAAGCAAAATTCAAGTATAGGTAAAATGAGTCTATGGCCATGGAAGACAAAATAATAGTTACCTTTGGGAGAAGTGGGTAGTGAGTGAACTGGACAAGACTTGGGCTTCTGTAATGCCAATAATGTTCTATTTCCTTATCAGATTTGAGGTCTGGTTAAAGGAATATGCTCACTTTTATGCAAGTTATCAGGTCATATACTTTGATTTTGTACTTTTTAGAATGTATGTTTTTTATATATATATATATTTGAGACAGGGTCTTTCTTTGTTGCCCCGGCTGCAAGACAGTAGTCCAATCGCAGCTCACTGCAGCCTCAACCTCCCTAGGTTCAAGCAATCCTCCCACCTTATCCCTGAGTACCTGGGACCATAGCAGCATGTAACCATGCCTGGCTAATTTTTGTACTTTTTGTAGAGATGGGATTTCACCATCTTGTCTGGGCTTGTCTCAAACTCCTGGGCTCAAGCGATCTACCCAGTGGGCCTCCCAAAGAGCTGGGATTATCATCATGCCTGGCCCAGAATGTATGTTATACTTCTTTTTTTACTTATTTTTATTTTCTTATTTTTTTTTGAGACGGAGTCTCGCTCTGTCACCTGGGCTGGAGTGCAGTGGCCGGATCTCAGCTCACTGCAAGCTCCGCCTCCCGGGTTCACGCCATTCTCCTGCCTCAGCCTCCCGAGTAGCTGGAATTACAGGCACCCGCCAACTCACCCGGCTAGTTTTTTTTTGTATTTTTTAGTAGAGACAGGGTTTCACTGTGTTAGCCAGGATGGTCTCGATCTACTGACCTCGTGATCCACCCGTCTCGGCCTCCCAAAGTGCTGGGATTACAGGCTTGAGCCACCGCGCCCGGCTAGTATGTTATACTTCTAAAATAACATGATATATCATGGTATCAGCAGATTCATTAAAGATTAGAATACCAGATAACCATGTGTTATAATACAAGATTACTATTATGTTAATAAACTGTTGGTAGGAATTTAATTTGTAAAACTATACTGTAGATCAGTTCAGCATTATCTAGGAAATTTGAAGATGCAAAATGTACTGTATGGCCCAGGAATTCCTTCATACACTTATATCCTAGGAAGGTATGCATGTATATATACTGGTATACGTGTAAAAACATTTTCACAGCAGCCCTATCATACAGGAAATAACCAATGTCTGAACTGCAGCTATGTATAACAGCGAGGGTGAGGCTAACAAACATAATATTTTATTTTTTTATTTTTATTTTTTAAGTTGGAGTTTTGCTCTTGTTGCCCAAGCTGGAGCGCAATGGTACAATCTCGGCTCACTGCAACCTCTGCCTCTAGGTTCAAGTAATTCTCCTGCCTCACCCTCCCGAGTAGCTGGGATTACAGGCATGTGCCACCATGACTGGCTAATTTTTTTGTATTTTTAGTGGAGACGGGGTTTCTGCGTGTTGGTCAGGCTGGTCCCAAACTCCTAACCTCAAGTGATCTGCCCACCTCAGCCTCCCAAAGTGCCGGGATTACAAGTGTGAACCACTGCGCCTGGCCCAAATATAATATTTTACAAGAAAGCCAAGACTCAAAACAACATTATACAGTACAATTTCATTTATATAGTGTTAAAAAGGTAAAACTAAACTATATTGTTTAGAGATAAGCAGATATGTGATAAAAACAAAACAAAACTTTTTTGAAAAAGTCAAGAATAACGATTACCAAAGTCAGGATAAGTGTTACCTAAAGAGGGAGGTAGGGTAAGTTTATTCTGGTGGAAGGACTGGAGGGCCCTTCTGGAGTGCTGAAGCAAGTTTTTGAGCAGAGGGTCTCTTTATAATTACTTCTTAAACTACACGTCTATATTTTAACTAGTTTTCTGTATGATGTAATATAAAGGGATTAAACAAAGAAAACCAAATATAGGCCAGGAGCAGTGGTTCACACCTGTAAACCCAGCACTTTGGGAGGTCTCACCTGAGTTCAGGAGTTCAAGAACAGCCTGGACAACATGGTGAAACCCCGTTTCTACAAAAATATAAAAATTAGCCAGGCATGATGGCAGGTGCCTGTAATCACAGCTACTCAGGAGGCTGAGGCAGGAGAATCACTTGAACTTGGGAGGCGGGGGTTGCAGTGAGCTGAGATCTAGGTATTGCACTCCAGCCTGGGTGAGCTGAGATCGCGCCATTGCACTCCAGCCTCGGCAACAGAGCAAGACTCCATCTCGAGACCAAAAAAAAAAAAAGAAAAAGAAAGAAAAGAAAACCAAATATAAGAACCATACATAATTTTTAGTGAAAATACAAGATATGAAACGGTAAATGTCATAAAATTCCAATCTTGAAAATAATGTATGTGTGCATAGGAAACTCACTAGAAGGAAATAGACCAAAATATTACTGGGTTGTTTCTGGATAGTAGATTTACTTTTGCTGTTTGTAACTCCCTATTTTCCAAATTCTTTGGAATTGTGTGGGTGTGTGTGAGACAGAGGAGGGGGGAGTGTGTGTGTGTTAAAAAAAAAAAAAAAAAAACTTTAGCACACTGGGAAAAGTGTTCTATTTTCTAAATTAATAAGTGAACATTTTGTAGAAAGAAGTAACAGACTACTGGGCTCTCTGCGTCCACCCCAAGGCTTCTCATCATTTTCTTGAATAGAAACTTATAAGAACCAGGTCACTTGCTGACTCTATGTTAACCACGACTATCCAGAGAAGAGAAGCAAAAAGGAAACCCAATGCACCTTGTATTTGGTTTGGTCAACAGTCATTCTTCCTCTGGGTAACTCTCTGAGAATAGCAGAGCTGAAGAAGAAAGGAATCATGAGATGCCAGGCCTTTCTTGTGGCTCAGACTGAGCAGATCAGAGGTCATTCTGGATCTACAGCTACTATCTATGAAGAGAAGAAGGGATGGGGGAGGTCAGAGAAGTGTAGACAGCCCAGCACAGTGGCTCAAGCCTGTAATCTCAGCACCTTGGGAGGTTGAGGCAGGCGGATCACCTGAGGTGGGGAGTTCGAGACCAGCCTGACCAACACAGAGAAACCCCGTCTCTACTAAAAACACAAAATTAGCAGGGCGTGGTGACGCATGCCTGTAATCCCAGCTACTCAGGAGGATGAGGCAGGAGAATCGCTTGAACCGGGGAGACAGAGGTTGCGGTGAGCCGAGATTGCACCATTGCACTACAGCCTGGGCAACAACAGCGAAACTCCATCTTAAAACAAAACAAAACCAGAGAAGTGTAGGATGTCCTGAGCATTCTCGGTATCAGAGGGGTGATGTCTCTCCTCTCCAGGAGAATCTGTCCTGACCTCACAGGGAGAGCTGGAGTCACAAAGACAGTCACAAGCACCCCATACCCAATGCTGCAGTCACCTAGCCACCATGGGGACCCACAGGCACACCTCACCCAAACAGTAACACTATATATGGTCACACAATCATTGTCCCACATCTACCTCGAGGATACACAGTCATACTCGCATGTATGCGAGACCCCCCAAACATAGCACCATTCAAAACCAGAGTGCTACAGATAGTCACAATATCACACTCACTACTGAGCCACACAGTCACAGTTCCCCCCTCCCCAGGACCCCTACTGAGCACTACACACAATCACACATTCAAAATAACACAATGACCATTAGGACGCACATATCGTCACCCCGGCACAATTACACGCACTTTCCAAGCGCAGACACAGTGCCACATAAAGTTACATGGTCACACTCTCACATTCTCACGTTGTCACTCAGTAAGGCATCCAGTACACTTAAGCGCTGCTAACAGTCATACAAACACAATTACACACGCACCCCTCAGAGTAACACACAGTCACAGCCTCATCATCAGATTCTCTCCACACAAACACCCTCTACAATGTCACGCAAAGTTACACAGACACACACAATCACAGTCCCAACACGGGACACAGTCATACCTACACACACAGCCTTACATTGTTACAATCACACAACCACAACGAGTATATAAAATCACACCCGCGCACACAGCAAGGCACAGTTACATAAGGTAACACACACGTAAGTCCACGCCTCGCGCCCGCCTCCTCCCTACCCCCTTCATCAGCCCGACCAACTCATACATGCCTGACACTCCAAACCAGCCTGGTCAGTCCCTTCAAACTCCCAGGCACGCACCTGCGGGCCCCAGCCGAGCCCGCAAGACCCAGGCCGCTCACCGCGCACTTCCCCTACCCTTGAGGCCGAGGGTCCAGCAGGCAAATGAAACGGCTGCCTTGGACTCGCGGGGATCTCTGGGAAATACAGTCCGGAGTAGGACCGCGCGGAGAAGATGGCGCCCGGTCCTTCGGGTTCCTGCTGCTGCACAGTTCCGGGACATCCCTGCTCCCCACTCCGAACGGCTACTCTGCGTCTCCGTGATCCAGACACAGGCTCAGAGTGAAACTGCCATAGGACGCTGGCCCTGCACCCTGAAGACAATCTTCCTCCATGGTACCGGCCAACCCCAGGGAGTTCCTTGAGAAACAGGAAAAGGTCGCCAGCTTCGGGCCAGAAGTTGGTTAGAGCCGCAAGGATTTCTGGGAACTGTAGTCTAGAGCCGGAAGGGGTGAGGCGCTGCGGCAAGTGGAAGGAGGTCCCTTAAATGACTTTCTGCCCCAAGCCGACCCACAATGCAGAGCGCACCCAGGACCCACTCTACTAGGCGTTATAACCCTCTCTGAGAATGCTAGACTGTTTAAATCGTCATTTTTGCCTTCGTCCGTGGAGGAGCCACATACTGTATGATTGCATTTATATGAAATATTTAAAATACGCAAATCTACGGAAAAGGAGTAAGAGTTTTTTAGGACTAGCAGGATTAGGGGAACTGTGAGTGGTAATAGCTAAAGGGTTCCTTTTTGGGGTAATGTAAAGCTTCTTGAATTAGATAATGATGTTTGCACAACTTGGAATACTCTAAGAATGACTGAATGGTACACCATAAACGAGCTAATGATATGATTTGTAAATTATATTTGTGTGCATGTCTTTTAAAAATCAACTTTACTGAAGCATAATTTAGATACAATAAAATGCCCTCATTTTAAGTGAAACGTTTGATAAGTTTCAACGAATGTTTAAATCCTTGTCACCGCCATCATAATCAGGATATAGAACATTTTTAAAAATTAAAAAAATTTTAAGCTTTTTAGTTAAATTTCTGTGGGTATATAGTAGGTGTATATATTTATGGGGTACATGAGATTTTTGATTGTTTTGATACAGGCATGCAATGCGTACGAATCATATCATGTAAAATGGGGTGTCTGTCCCCTCAAGCGTTTATCCTTTGTGTTACTGGATATTTAATTTTTTAATTTTTTTTTTATTTTTTGAGTTGGAGTCTAGCTTTGTCACCGAGGCTAGAGTGCAGTGGCGCGATCTCGGCTCACTGCAAGCTCAGCCTCGCAGGTTCAAGTGATTCTCCTGCCTCAGCCTTGGGAGTAGCTGGTATTACAGGCGTCCGCCACCATGCCCGGCTAATTTTTGTGTTTTTAGTAGAGACAGGGTTTCACTGTGTTGGCCAGGCTGGTATAGAACTCCCGACCTCGAACTTCTGACCTCGTGATCCGCCCGCATCGGCCTCCCAAAGTGCTGGGATTACAAGCGTGAGCCACCGCGCCCAGCGCATACAGAATATTTTTATTCACCGCCCTCCGCCCCCCAGATTGTTAAGTCGATTCCCACCTCCCCATCCCTGTATCAGGCATCTACTGAATATTCTAAGGAATGAGCAGTAGTATCAAATTATGTTTTTAATTTGCATTTCCTGATGTCAGTGAATTTAGCATACTTTCATATACTTATTTGCCATTCTTTTATCTTCTTTTGTGACATCTATTGAAAATATTCGGCCGGGTGCAGTGGCTCAGGCCTGTAATCCCAGCACTTTGGGAGGCTGAGGCGGGCAGATCACCTGAGTTCGGGGGTTCGAGACCAACCTGATCAACCTAGAGAAACACTGTCTCTACTAAAAATACAAAATTGGCCGGGTGTGGCGGTGCATGCCTGTAATCCCTGCAGGAGAATCACTTGAACCGGGGAGGCAGAGGTTGCTGTGAGCCGAGATCACACTGTTGCACTTCAGCCACAGCAACAAGAGCAAAACTCCATCTCAAAAAATAATAATAATAATAATAAATATTATTTTAAAATTGGTTGTCTTATTATTGAGTTGTAACAGTTCTTTATATGTTTGGGTAAAAGTCATTTGCCAAATATATATATTGCAAATTGCAAATATTCTCTCCCTGCCTGGGGCTTACCTTCTCAGGTTTTGGGTTTTTTTTTTTTCTTTTTTTTTTTTAGACAGGGTGTTGCTCTGTTGCCTAGTCTGGAGTGCAGTGGCGTGAACACAGCTCACCACAGCCTTGACCTCCTGGGTTTAGTAGATCCTCCTGAGTAGCTGGGACTGCAGGTGTGCACCACCACGCCCAACTAACTTTCTTGTGTTTTGTGGAGATGGGGGTCTCGCTGTGTTATTATAGGTGTGAGCCACTGTGCCCAACCCTCAGTTTCTTCATGATGTCTTTCAAAAAGCAGTTTTTACTTTTGATGAAATCCAATTTTTCACCTTTAAAATGTGCTTCATGCTTTCTGGTCTTTCTAAGAATCTTTGTCTCCCCTAGTGTTGTAAAGAATTTCTTCTAAGTTTTATTCTAAGGGTTGTATAGTTTTAGTTTTTATTTTTGGTCCATCAGCCACTTGAAGTTAGTTTTTGTGTATATGAGGTAATGTTCAAAGTTATTATTTTCCAGATGAAAGTTCAGTGGTTCTGGCCAGGCGCGGTGGCTCAAGCCTGTAATCCCAGCACTTTGGGAGGCCGAGACGGGTGGATCACGAGGTCAGGAGATCGAGACCATCCTGGCTAACACGGTGAAACCCCGTCTCTACTAAAAAATAAAAAAAACTAGCCGGGTGAGTTGGCGGGCACCTGTAGTCCCAGCTACTCGGGAGGCTGAGGCAGGAGAATGGCATAAACCCGGGAGGCGGATCTTGCAGTGAGCTGAGATCCGGCCACTGCACTCCAGCCTGGGCAACAGAGCGAGACTCCATCTCAAAAAAAAAAAAAAAAAAAAGAAAGTTCAGTGGTTCTAACATCACATGTTAACAAAACTATCATTTTCCTCTTGAATGACCTCAACATCTAAAGTAGGCAGGATAACGCTCCCCGCAAAATACCCACATGCCAGTTCCTGGGACTTGTGAATGTACTATGTTACATGGCAAGGGGAATTAAATTAACAGGTAGAATTAAAGTTGCTACTCAGCTGACCTTAACATAGGGGATTATACTGGATTGTCCAGTTAGACCCAGTGTAATCACATGGGGTCTGAAATGAGGAAGAAGGCATAAAAGTCAGTGTAGGAATTGTGCGCTGTGAGAAAGACATGACCAGCCATTATTGGGTGTAAAGATGAAAGGAGCCCATGAGCTGAAGAATGCAGGCAGCTTCTCCAACTTGGAAAAATGAAAAAAGCAGATTGTCCAGAGCCTCCTTTATTTGAGTCGGGGTCTCCCTCTGTTGCCCAAGTCGGAGTGCAGTGGTGCGATCTTGGCTCACTGCAACCCCTGCCTCCTGGGTTCAAGTGATTCTCCTGCCTCAGCCTCCCTAGTAGCTGAGATTACAGGCAACCACCACCACACTTGGCTAATTTTTTTTTTTTTTTTTTAAGTAGAGACAGGGTTTCACCATGTTGGCCAGGCTGGTCTTGAACTCCTGACCTCAAGTGATCTGCCTGCCTTGGCCTCGCAAAGTGCTGGAATTACAGATGTGAGCCACCTCACCCAGCCTTTTTTTTTTTTTTTTTTAAGAGACAAGGTCTTGCTCTGTCACCCAGGCTGGAATGCAGAGGTATGATCATGGCTCACTGCAGCGTCAAACTCCCAGACTTAAGCATCCTTCTGCTTAGGCCTTCTGAGTAGCTGGGACTGTCGGTGTGCACCACTACACCTGGCTAATTGGAAAAAAAAAATTATAGAGAGGGGGTTTAGCTATGTTGCCCAGTCTACTCAAACTCCTGGCCTCAAGTAATCCTCCCACCGTGGCCTCCCAAAGTGCTGGGATTACAGGCATGAGCCACCACAACAGCTGTGTCATCCCAACCCCTCTCTGGGCCTGATCATGTAAAGAGGGCTTGCATTCCTCAGATAAAAAGTTTCTTTTCTTTTTCAACACTATGCGAAGTGAGATAAGCCAGACCAAAAGGACAAATATTGTATGAATCCACTTATATGAGGTGCCTAGAATAGGTGTATTCATAGAGACAGAAAGTAGAATTGAAGTTACGTACGTATAACCTCGTGAGGTTATATGAGGTACATGATAAAGCCTCTATACTTAAAACAGTGTACTATTTGTGTGTGGTCAGAGAGACAGACCAAGGGAGGATGATGGGAAATATAGAAGTAAACATCCGCAGCCAGGCGCGGTGGCTCACGCCTGTAATCCCAGCACTTTGGTAGGCCGAGATGGGTGGATCACCTGAGGTCAGGAGTTCAAGACCAACCTGGCCAACATGATGAAACCCCGTCTCTACTAAAAATACAAAGAATTCGTTGGGCGTTGTGGCACGCGTCTGTCATCCCAGCTACTCAGGAGGCTGAGGCAGGAGAATCGCTTGAACCTGGGAGGCAGGGGTTGCAGTGAGCCAAGATCGAACCACTGCACTCCAGCCTGGAGCAAAACTCCATCAAAGAAAGAAAGAGAGAGAGAGAGAGGGAGGGAGGGAGGAAGGTCCACATAGATGCTTAGTATTTGATAATGGCAGCAGCTCAAATCACCACAGTCACATCATAAAGTTTTATGCAGCCGGTACACACATAGCAGAAAAAAAAAATGTCATCTCTACAGAATGACATTAATTCTAGAATATATAAAAAAATGGAAAGTATAGAACAGTATAACATAGTTTGTCTAAAAAAAGAAAAGGAAATCAGATTAGACATAAGCATTTGTTTATATGCACTAAAAAAAGAAAAGATAGCAAAAAAGAAGTATTGGAAACGTGAACCGGAAACAATACCTATAGTGGTAACCTATAGTGATTGGGGTGGCGGGGGGAGTGAGACTTGATATGTCTTTTTATACAGTTGCATAGGAAAAACAAACTGGTTTTTAAAAATATACTCTCACAACACTCAATACTTCCAGAATGTTTCATTTCTAACACAAAATATGTGGAGTTTTTCTGACACGGCTTCTCCAACCCTCCCTGCCTGGGTGTCCTACAATTGAATTCAAGTCTGACACTAACCTGAGTCAGCACAGACCTTACAGGTTAATTGCTCAGTCCCACAAGACTGCCCACCTCTTCAGATGCCAATGACAACTACTAAGTCACCTGATTACCAACAACTGTCTAGTTTGCCTGAAAATTAGAGGTTCCCATCATCCCCTTCTTGGATTTGATTCTACCAAACTTTTCAGGGAGAACAAATTCCAATATTTCTCAAACTAATCCAAAAAAATTGAAGGGGAAGGAATTTTTCCAAACTGATTCTGTGAGGCCAGCACCACCCTTATACTAAAACCAGACAAGGACAGAAGAAAGAGAAAACTACAGGCCAAGATCTCTGATAAACACAGATGCAAAAATCCTCAACAAAATACTAGCAAACCAAATCCGATAGCACGTCAAAAAGATTATATACATGATGATCAAGTGGGATTTATCCCAGGGAAGCAAAGATGGTTTAACATATGCAAATTAATACATGCAATACATCACATTAACAGAATGAAGGACAAAAATCATATGGTCATCACAATAGAAACAGAAAAAGCATTTGACAAAATTCAACATCTCTTTGCAATTAAAAAAACAACAACAACAAAAAAAACTCCCTGGCCAGGCACAGTGGCTCACGCCTATAATCCCAGCTCTTTGGAGTCTCCCTCTGTCACCAGGCTGGAGTGCTGTGGCTCCATCTCAGCTCCCTGCAACCTCCACCTTCCGGGTTCAAGTGATTCTACTGCCTCAGCCTCCAAAGTAGCTGGGACTACAGGCGTGTGCCACCACACCCAGCTAATTTTTGTATTTTCAGTAGAGACAGGGTTTCACCATGTTGGCTAGGATGGTCTCGATCTCCCCACTGAGATGATCCACCTGCCTCGGCCTCCCAAAGCGTTGGGATTACAGGCGTGAACCACGTGTCTGGCCAAGGCTATTATTATTTTTATTGTTGCTGCCTGCTATAGCCATGCTTGAGGTAGCTAGGGTGGATGCTGATGGAGATTAAGGGGATTAAAATATCTATACCTCCCAAAGCCTCCTACCAGCCATTTCAAAGGGGATGCTTAGACTTCTAACCCCTCTTCCATGGTATCTCCTAGGAGAGGATTGTACTAACCCAACTTCTAACCTATTTCCTAATGTGTTTTCAACTATTAAAAATTGTACCTCCCTTCCTGCAGGATACTATCTATTGTGACATAACTCCCTCTTGCCTAGTGGTTTCACCCAGGAGTGAACTCGGATCCCAATCCACCCTTCTGAGTGGTGTCTCCAAAAAATAGATTGTACGATCCTAATGCCTCCTCTTATCTTCCTTATTTCTCTCAGGATCCCTGGCTTCCTTGTTCCCCCATGGTTTCTTCTAGGGAATCATTGTTTTCTGCAGTGTGCCCTAACCAAGGGCTAACTTAGCTATTATAAATATAACAGCCGGACGCGGTGGCTCACGCCTATAATCCCAGCACTTTGGGAGGCCGAGGTGGGCGGATCATTTGAGGGCAGGAGTTCGAGACCAGCCTGACCAACATGGTGAAACCACGTCTCTACTACAAACACAAAAAATTAGCTGGGTGTAGTGGCGCTTGCCTGTAATCCCAGCTACTCGGGAGGCGGAGGCAGGAGAATCGCTTGAACCTGGGAGGCAGAGGTTGCAGTGAGCCGAGATGGCGCCAGTGCACTCCAGCCTAGGCAAGACTCCGTATTAAAAAAATTAAATAAATACATAAATAAATAAAGCTCCAGATCCTATCTTCAGGAACGTCTTCTTCTTGGGTATAAGCGTGGCCAAACTATGGTAACAGTCTTGCATTCTACGTGAAAATCCTTGCCTTACTCTAGTCAACCCTGCAAGAGGCGGACTCCTCCACTGTACGGAATCGATACGCATCCAAGATGGCGGCCCACACGAATAAACACCATAAGGGCGCGGTTATATTCTCTGCCCGATAGCTCCGATTACGGAAACTGCACGATGTCTCTAAAGATGTGTCTGCGCCCTGTTGACTGTGGGCGGAAATTGCTTCCAAGTTAATTTGGAGCATGCGCAATATCAACAGTCCACAAGGGGAAGTGCTAGAAGTCGGACCGGAAGTGGAAGTGGTCCCCGAGGGCTAGTTCGCCGCTGGTGTCAGGAGTATTTTCACGTTTTATTGCCAAGAGGTCTCTGTGATGATTTTGGTTGGTTGCAATTAGGAATTCTGTGAAGTCAGTAATAGAGGAGTTGTCTGTGGAATTAGTGATGGTGGTTTCGGGGCTCGGTGATGGGGGTCTGTGACGTCCGTTGATGGTTGTCTGTGACAGGGATTTCTCGGGTCATTGATGGGCCTCTTTGGGATCAGTGATTGGTGTTTAGGAGTCAGTGAGGGGAGTCTGTGGTCAGTGACTGAGAGCCTGCAGGATCAGCTATGGTGATCGGTGAGGACTGTGATCAGCTTGCTTTCTGACCTGAGTTAAAAGTTCAGTTCTTTCAGTTTCAGCCTGTAATATAAAGGTGAACAAGTTTTGATGTGTAGCAGTTTCCTATTGTTCAAATCTAAGTGTTTAAAATTTTTTTCCAGTAATTGTTTTTCTTTGACCCATGAGCCATTTAGAAGTGCGCTTTATGTTTCAATTAGTGTCTGTGGGTGATGCTTCAGTTGAACAATTGCTTTATGGCCTAGTTCTTCCTCATTTTTCATAAATGTCACATCTATTACATGAAAACAGTGTAATATGTTCTCTAATTTGTATTGTTATAGATGTTAATCCCATGTTATATGTATTATGTATCTCCTCACAGATTATTTTGTTGAGGAAGGTAAACTACTCACACTGGAAAAGTTATTTGTCCACCTGTCCTTTCTTCTTTCTGTCAGTTTCTGCTTTATATATTTAAAACTATATTATTGGCACCAGTTGAGTGTACTGCTAATAACAGATATGACTGGCCGGGCCTGGTGGCTCAGGCCTGTAATCCCAGCACTTTGGGTGGCGAGGTGGGCAGATCACCTGAGGTCAGGAGTTCGAGACCAGCCTGGCCATCATGGTAAAACCCCGCCTCTACCAAAAATACAAAAATTAGCCCGGTGTGTGGTGGGCGTCTGTAATCCCAACTACTCGGAGGCTGAGGCAGGAGAATCATTTGAACCTGGGAGGTGGAGGTTGCAGTGAGCCAAGATCATGCATGCCATTGCACTGCAGCTGGGGCAACAAGAGTGAAACTCCATCTCAAAAAATTAAAAATAAAAATAATAGATATGACTAAATAGCTCAAAAGACATTATAGCAATTCAAGCCTTAACCAATAATTTATAAAAGAAATTTGCCTAAATGCTTTCCAACAGTGGATGTTGTTACTTTTTTTTTTTTTTTTTTTTTGAGACAGAGTCTTGCTCTGTTGCCCGGGCTGGAGTGCAATGCCCTGATCTCCGCTCACTGCAAACTCTGCCTCCCGGGTTCAAGCTATTCTCCTGTCTTAGCCTTGAGTAGCCTTGAGTAGCTGGGATTACAAGCGCTCGCCATCACACCTGGTCTGTTAACTTTTTTAAAGCTTTCATGATTCTAAGGAAAATTTCTCTCTAATTGTTCTGATGCGTTTTTCTTTTAGTTAAGTTGGTATCTTTTTGTTAATTGCCATTTGCTTCCTTTTCTCTGAATTTTCATACCTTTTCCAGTCTCTTTTTTTCTGGCCTTTTCTGCTTAGTGATTGCTAGAGTTAATGTTACAAGGAACCTATCGTCACATATTGAAAAAAATTTTTATATATATGTCAAATTTAATGGTTTATTTTAACATAATTAGGAAACATATAATCAGAAATATCTGGGTTTTTTTTCTATTATAACTTCTGGGTTTCCTGTCATGTGTAATAAGATGCCTATCATCCTACCACAATGCTATACAAATGTATAGTCTGAAAATTATTTTAACATCCTTAGGGGTTTTAAAAAATGCATGTATTTGGCCGGGCGCGGTGGCTCAAGCCTGTAATCCCAGCACTTTGGGAGGCCGAGAGGGGTGGATCACAAGGTCAGGAGATCGAGACCATCCTGGCTAACACGGTGAAACCCCGTCTCTACTAAAAAATACGAAAAAAAACTGGCCGGTTGAGGTGGCGGGCACCTGTAGTCCCAGCTACATGGGAGGCTGAGGCAGGAGAATGGTGTGAACCCGGGAGGCGGAGCTTGCAGTGAGCTGAGATCCGGCCACTGCACTCCAGTGCACTGCACAGAGCGAGACTCCGCCTCAAAAAAAAAAATGCATGTATTTAAATGTTTAGTGCTGCTGGAATTTGTCTACTTAATAGTGTGAAGTGGGTTGGGCACGGTGGCTCACGCCTGTAATCCCAGCTCTTTGGGAGGCTGAGGCAGGCAGATCACAAGGTCAGGAGATCGAGATCATCCTGGCCAACATGGTGAAACCCTGTCTCTACTAAAAATACAAAAAAATTAGCTGGGCGTAGTGGCATGCACCTAGTCCCAGCTACTCAGGAAGCTGAAGAAAGAAATTGCTTGAACTCCAGAGGCAGAGGTTGCAGTGAGCTGAGGTCGTGTCACTGCACTCCAGCCTGGCCACAGAGCGAGACTCCATCTTAAAAAAAAAAAAAATAGTGTGAGGTGGAGATCTAGTTTGTTTTATTCCAGGTGCATGGCCAATTGCGTGCACCAATTAGGGATATGTATACAATGAATGCCATGTGCACTCTCAGTCACATATCATTTTCATTTCATATATAGATCAATATTGTCTGATATATTATCTTACTTGTTTTGATTACATGGTTTTCTGTATTAAGTTTTAATATAGTGCATGGGAATTGCTGATATTTATTGCATGATTCTTGCATGGCAGGGAGGCATTGAGTACTTTAAAAACATCATCTCATTTAATCTTAGTAACTGTGACACAGGCATTTTCATCCTTATTTCTGAAACAAAATCTGAGTAACTTCTTTCTATTCTCATTGGTGAAAAGTGGAACAGCTGCAGTTCAAATCCTCAGTAACGTTACTCTAAATTTCATGGCTTTTCCCATGTTTCAGCACTGTTCTCCACAGTTCTGAAGGTGTGGTTCTTGTACCAGCAGCATCAGCATTTCCTGGGCACTTATTAGAAAATAAAATTCTTACGTCCTACCTTAGACCCATCGAAGGGGTGAAGCTGAGAATTTTAAACTATGTTTTAACAAGCCCTCCAGGTGACTTGAATGCACACGTATGTTTGGGAACCACTGCTCTGGTTTCTAGCACAGGGACCTGCACCTTGATGTATCCAGGAAGTGTTTATGTGGTGAATGTTGAATGACTATGTGGACATTGTTTTTCTAGGTTCTTGGGTGTCTCTGGGGAGTCCCTGAGCCAGACCTTCCTCCAGACTGCAGCCCACCTCTTCAGAGCAGCTCTGCTGAGTTCACAGATGACCACTAAACTTCAGGCACCCTAGAGAAAAAGGGTTGAGATCCAGTGTGGCCATGCCAGCTAGTTGGACCTCACCCCAGAAATCCTCAGCCCTGGCTCCAGAGGATCAGGGCAGCTCCTATGAGGTGAGGAGGAGGAGTCCCAGGGGGTGGAATTTCAGTCCGAGAGTAGATAGCTCTAATCTGTCACCAGAGCCTTAGGGCAGAGGCAGATAGGCCTTAGGAACCAGCTGGACTCTAGACTTGGTGCTCCTGAAAGAAAACTTGATCTTCCTGTCAAGAATGAACAACACGTGGGTAATGTCTGTATCTCTGGAGGCCGCCTGTATAACAGTGGAGAGGTGGACTGTCAAGGAAAACTGTTGTTTATTTTGTCATCACACTATATTGATGTTTTGGCTGCAAATAGAATTCCTCGTTATAAGTGACTTTTGTTTGATATTTCGAAAGCATTTTTTCATTTCTTCCTAAACCACCTCCTCAAACACAAATGTTTTCTCTATTTTCTTTCTGAAACTTGTTTTTCAGATGTTGCTTCTCCATTTCTTTTCTCTACCATTTTCTGCTATTTATTTCCTGCTATCCATTCTGGGTAACTTTGACACCTTTCGCCTTCCAGCCCTTCTGTTGAGCTTCTCATTACCGCTATCCACATTTTAACATAATGTTTTCATTTTTACAAACTCTAGTTTGTTTCCTTTTTTTTTTTTTTTTTTTTTAAAGCATAGTTTTGCTCTTGTTGCCCAGGCTGGAGTACAATGGTGCGATCTCGGCTCACTGCAGCCTCCGCCTCCTGAGTTCAAGTGATTCTCCTGCCTCAGCTTCTCGAGTAGCTAGGACTACAGGCATGCACCACCTCATCCGGCTAATTTTGTGTTTTTACTAGAGACAGGGTTTCTCCATGTTGATTGGACTGGTCTTGAACTCATGATCTCAGGTGATCCGCCTGCCTCAGCCTCCCAAAGTGCTGGGATTACAGGCATGAGCCACCACACCCAGCCCTATTTGCATGATTTTATATAATATTCACTCATGATTGAATCTTAGACATAGAAGTAACTATTACTCCAGGAGGCGGAGGTTGCGGTAAGCCAAGATTGCGCCGTTGCACTCCAGCCTGGGCAACAAAAGCAAAACTCCGTCTCAAAAAAAAAAAAGAAAAAAAAGAAGAGGAAGAACTAGTGTCATTTTTACACAAACTCTTCCAGAAAATAAAAGAGGAAGACCACTTCCGAACTAACTTTGTACAGCCAGTATTACTGTGACATCAAAACCAAAGCACAAAAAAAGAACACTATAGACCAGTGTCTTTCATAATTTTAGATGCAAACATCCTCAGCAAAATATCAGCATACCGAATCCAGCAATGAATGAAAAGAATCATGTACTACAATAAACTGAAATTCACGGGGGGACCCTCTGTATCATTTTGTAATTCCCTGTGAATCTATAATTATTTCAAAATAAAAAGTTTAAAAAAAATACTCCTAAAGAAAGATTATTCCAAAGCATTTGGAATATTTTGGAGTAGTTATGACTGGAAGATCATTGACAAGACCCACTGCACAATTCATATGAGAGAATGTGAATTACAGTTGACCTTTGAACCACATGGGTTTGAACTGTGTGGGCCCATTTGTAACACAGATTTTTTTTTCAGTAAAATTACACTGAGTGTGCCTCCCTCTCCTGCCCTCCCTTCCACCTTCACCTCTTCCCCTTTTGCCACCCAAAACAGCAAGGCCAGACTCTCCTCTTCCTCCTCTTCCTCTGCCTCCTTAACCTGAAGACCATAAAGGCAAAGACCTTCATGATGATTCACTTCCACTTAATAAATAATAAATATATGTTCTCTTCCTTTTGATTTTCTTTAAAGCATTTTCCTTTCTCTAGCTGACTTTTATTATTAAAATACAAAATATAATACATATACAAAATATCGTGTTAGCCAGGCTGATCTCGAACGCCTGACCTCGTGATCCACCCGCCTCAGCCTCCCAAAGTGATGGGATTACAGGCATGAGCCACTGGGCCCGGCCAAGACAGCCTATTTCAATGGCCAGTTTTGAAAAATGAATAATTGACTGACTGTAGAACACCACAAATAGCTGGAATTCTTTGTTAGATTTCTGTGTTCCACAAATTATGTAAAACTAGATTTTTTTTTTTGAGACAGAGTCTTGCTCTATCATCCAGGCTGGAGTGCTGTGGCATGATCTCAGCTCACTGCAAACTCCACCTCCTGGGTTCAAGGGATTCTCCCACCTCAGTCTCCCAAGTATCTGGGACTACAGGCACGTGCCACCAGCCTGGCTAATTTTTTGTATTTTTAATAGAGATGGTGTTTCACCATGTTGGCCAGGCTGGTCTCGAATGCCAAACCTCAGGTGATCCACCCACCTTGAACTCCTAAAGTGCTGGGATTACAGGCATGAGCCACTGTGTCCGGCCCCCTCTGACATTCTTGCTTGGATTACAAGTGTGAGCCACTGCACCCGGCTAAAACTAGATACTTAATATGTGACCTATGTGAAATATAATTTCTTAGAAATTTCATATTACTCAGGTGTATGCATTTGTCAGAAGGTCAAATGGCACAATAAAGATTGTTGCATTTAATTGTGTTGTACTAAATTTTACCTTATCAGATTAACAAATGTTACACCCCAGTTAATGATTTGCATTTTGTGGTGCTTAAGAGAAGTGTAGTGATGACTACAATTTACCCTGAAATACATAAAAAAAAAAAAAGTAAGATGGATCAATGCGTGATGAAGCAAGTAGAGTAAGGTGTTAAATGTAGAGCTAAGTAGTAGATGTATAGGTTTTTACTGTACAATTCTTTCTAATTTTCTGAATGTTTAAAATTTTTCATAATAAGCTATTAGGGAAATGGGAGGCAGGTTTTTTAAAAAGGAAGTAAATTGGCCAGGCACGGTGGCTCATGCTTGTAATCCCAGCACTTTGGGAAGCCGAGGTGGGAGGATCACAAGGTCAGAAGATCGAGACCAGTCTGGCCAACATGGTGAAACCCAGTCTCTACTAAAAATACAAAAATTAGCTGGGTATGGTGGCACATGCCTGTAATCCCAGCTCCTTGGGAGACTGATACAGGAGAATTGCTTGAACCTGGGAGGCAGAGGTTGCAGTGAGCCAAGATCACTCCATTGCACTCCAGCCTGGGCAAAAAGCGAAACTCCATGTCAAGGGGGAAAAAAAAAAAAAAAGGCCAGGCATGTTGGCTCACGCCTATAATCCCAGCACTTTGGGAGGTCAAGGTGGGCGGATCACGAGGTCACAAGGTCAGGAGATCGAGACCATCCTGGCCAACGTGGTGAAACCCCGTCTCTACTAAAAATAACAAAAATTAGCTGGGCGTGGTGGTGCGCGCCTGTAATCCCAGCTACTCGGGAGGCTGATGCAGGAGAATCGCTTGAACCTGGGAGGCGGAGGTTGCAGTGAGCCAAGATTGCACCACTGCACTCCAGCCTGGGTGACAGAGCAAGACTATGTCTCAAAAAAAAAAAAAAAAGGAAATAAATTAAAAACAATGAAACCCACATTCCATAATCCCAAAATATAGTCACTCCACCCTGCAAAGCTGACTATGCACATTGAACAGGAATGTGCCCTTACAGGGATCAGTGTCCTTCAGGGATGTGGCTATCAATTTCAGCAGAGAGGAATGGCAGCACCTGGACCTTTCTCAGAGAAACCTGTACCGGGATGTGATGCTGGAGACCTACAGCCACCTGCTCTCAGTAGGTAAGCACAGTCACCTTGGTGTCTGAAAGGAGGCCTCACTGAGAGTGCTTTCATTCTCAGTTGATGAATGCTGTTGGCATCTCGAATAGGTGATGGTTTTGTCCTTTTTTCCTCCAGGGTTCTCGGTTTGTTTAGGGTATTCAGAATATTACCCTGTTCTCAGAGATATATGGTTACTTTCCTAAAGAACAAACTGTCATTGAACAATAAGACTGTATTGGCTGGGCTCTGAAACATAATTAGCTGGACCCAGACCTTTATCATTTCCCATGAACAGGGTATCAAGTTCCTAAACCAGAGGTGGTCATGTTGGAGCAAGGAAAGGAACCATGGGCACTGCAGGGTGAAAGGCCACGTCAGAGCTGCCCAGGTGAGTGACGTGAGGTGAGTGTGACTCAGGTTAGATGGGAGACAGGAGGAAATCTCAGCTGTCTTGAAAAACACTGGAACCTGTGAAGTGCTGTTACGACCACTCTTCAGGAAGGTTCTGAATTTTTTGTATTGCTTTTTTTTTTTTTTTTTTTTTGAGACGGAGTCTCGCTGTGTCTCCCAGGCTGGACTGCAGTGGCGTGATCTCGGCTCACTGCAAGCTCCGCCTCCCGGGTTCACGCCATTCTCCCGCCTCAGCCTCCCAAGTAGCTGAGACTACAGGCGCCCGCCACCACGCCCAGCTAGTTTTTTGTATTTTTAGTAGAGACGGGGTTTCACCATGTTAGCCTGGATAGTCTCGATCTCCTGACCTCGTCATCCACCCGCCTCGGCCTCCCAAAGTGCTGGGATTACAGGCTTGAGCCACCGCGCCCGGCCGTTTTTGTATTGCTTGATGCCTCTCAGATCACTAAATGCCTTCTACCTGGATGACCTTCCTTGTTGATTATAAGTCATGTGCCAGTCAGCCTCATTAAAGATGTATCTTCATTATGTTCCTTTTCTGTAACATTCTTTTTTTCCCTACCTTCCATATTGTCCTAGAGTCTCTTGTTTACATCCAGGCATTCCTGGATCTGCTTTCGTTCAAAATTACTCTGTGTCACACACTCCCACTCCTGCTACACCCCTTTTATTTCTGTCTTTCTCACCGTAAGATGCCTCAGAACTTTATCTCTGGGCCAGGTGTGGTTGCTCATGCCTGAAATCCCAGCACTTTGGGAGGCCTTTGTGGATGTATCTCTTGAGGTCAGGAGTTTGAAACCAGCCTGGACAACATGGCAAAACCTCATCTCTACTAAAAATACAAAAATTAGCTGGGTGTGGTGGTGCATGCCTGCAATCCCAGTTACTTGGGAGGCTGAGGCGCAAGAATCACTTGAATCCGGGAAGTGGAGGTTGTAGTGAGCCAAGATCATGCCACTGCACTCCGGCCTGGGTGACAAAGCAAGACTCAATCTAAAAAAGAAAAAAAAAAAAAAAGAACTTTATTTCCAATCAGGCTTTCTAACTATTTTTGCTATAGGAATGGCCATGAGATTTCTCGTATCTTCCCAGTCTTTCAGGACTTTCATCCAGCTGATGACTTGGGAATCACTGTCACTTAATCTTTGGGAATACCTCTCTGCTGTGTTTGACATGACATGATTAATCACCCTTTCTCACATTTCCTTCTGATGTTGCTTGAGCAATTCCACACTGTTAGGGTCTCTCTGCCTGGTTGGCTTTTTTTGTTCGTTTGTTTGTTTGTTTGTTTGAGACAGAGTCTCACTCTGTCGCCCAGACTACAGTGCAGTGGTGCAATCTTGGCTCACTGCAACCTCCACCTCCCAGGAAATGATTCTCTTGCCTCAGCCTCCCAAGTAGCTGGGATTGCAGGTGCGTGCCACCATGCCTGGCTAATTTTTGTATTTTTATTTTTATGTATTTATGTATTTATTTATTTATTTTATTTTATTTTATTTTTTTTTTTTTGAGATGGAGTCTCACGCTGTTGCCCAGGCTGGAGTGCAGTGGCGCGATCTCGGCTCACTGCAAGCTCCGCCTCCCGGGTTCCCGCCATTCTCCTGCCTCAGCCTCCTGAGTAGCTGGGACTACAGGCGCCCGCCACCGCGCCCGGCTCATTTTTTGTATTTTTAGTAGAGACGGGGTTTCACTGTGGTCTCGATCTCCTGACCTTGTGATCCGCCCGCCTCGGCCTCCCAAAGTGCTGGGATTACAGGCTTGAGCCACCGCGCCCGGCCTATATTTATTTTTGAGATGGAGTTTCAGTCTTGTTACCCAGACTAGAGTGATCTACCCAGAATGGCGTGATCTCAGCTCACTGCAACCTCTGCCTCCCGGGTTCAAGTGATTCTCCTGCCTCAGCCTCCCGAGTAGCTGGGATTATAGGTATGAGCCACCATGCCCAGCTAACATTGTATTTTTAGTAGAGACAGGGTTTCTCCGTGTTGGTCAGGCTGGTCTCGAACTCCCAACCTCAGGTGATCTGCCCACCTCAGGCTCCCAAAGTGCTGGGATTACAGGCGTGATCCACCGTGCCCGGGCTTATTTGTTTTTGTCATGCTTTATTTTTATATTTCACCCAATGAGGTCTGAGTTTAATCATTGTCTTTAGTTTAGGACACACTATGACCATGAATGTGGGTAAAGATTCTGTCTTATTTTTGTGATAAAATCTCCTATTCTCTCTTTCCCCTCACCCATCTCCCTTCCCACCAGAAGCCACTGTTTTGTATAATGGAAGCATTTTTTAATTCGTGCATGTTGTAAAATTTAAAGTGAATTAGGGGCATGGATCATTAGTTTATATAAATCTTATTATGCTATATATCATGTTTTTTGCCTTACTTTTTCCATGTCTATTCATGGTGTTATCTGTTCATCTAGTTTATTTCTTTTAACTGCTGAATTGTTCCCCAGAATGTTTCACCATAAGTAGTGTCACACCCTCCTCATCCAATTACCCACGCTTACCCTTTTCTCTGTGTTCAATCTGGATGAGCCATTTTTACCTTCCCCTCTAGCCTCTGCTACCTGCTCTATGAGCAAAAAGTGACTTACTATCCCTTGAAAAGGGGCATTTGGATTCCAAACCTTTTTTCCAAGGAATCTCTGGAAAAAAAAAGACTTCTTTCCACAATGCAAGGGAAGATGATGACAGAGATGATGTGAGATTGAGATTGTATTTCATTCTAGAATAACTGTGACAGATTGATAACCAGATACAGTATTATCAGAAAAGAAAATAAATATCTAGGCCGGGCGCGGTGGCTCACACCTGTAATCCCAGCACTTTAGGAGGCCGAGACGGGCGGATCATGAGGTCAGGAGATTGAGACCATCATGGCTAACACCGTGAAATCCCGTCTCTATTAAAAATACAAAAAATTAGCCGGGCGCGGTGGCGGGCACCTGTAGTCCCAGCTACATGGGAGGCTGAGGCAGGAGAATAGCGTGAACCCAGGAGGCGGAGCTTGTAGTGAGTGGAGATCGGGCCACTGCACTCCAGCCTGGGCAACAGAGCGAGACTCCGTCTCAAAAAAAAAAAAAAAAAGAAAAGAAATATCTAAGTGATGTTGCTTTAATCAAGAAAATATTGACTACAAATAGGCATTATGAAATAAGGCTGTCAGAAGAACAATTCATGTGAACCCAAACATATTGCATCCCCGTAAAAACCCTATCAATGTGATTCATTTGGAAATGGCTTGAAGCATAATTTAGATTTACACATTCATTATAGAAATGATGCTTCTAAGAATGTTAAGAAGAGTACTAAATATGGTAAAATGTCTTTCTATACTTACTGTGAATGTACTCCAACAGGAGAGAAATTATGGGACCATAATCAACATAGAAAAATCATTGGTTATAAACCAGCCTTCTCTCAAGATCAAAAAATTTATCCTAGGGAAAAATCCTATGGATGTGCCGAATTTGGAAAGAGCTTCACCTGGAACTCACAGTTCAAGGTACATCTGAAAGTTCCTACAGGAGAAACACTCTATGTATGTATTGAATGCGGGAGGGCTTTTGTACAGAAGCCAGAATTCAGTACACATCAGAAAACCCATATGAGAGAGAAGCCCTATAAGTGCAATGAATGTGGAAAATCCTTTTTTCAAGTATCGTCCCTTTTCAGGCATCAGAGAATTCATACCGGAGAAAAACTACATGAATGTAGTGAATGTGGGAAAGGCTTCCCTTATAACTCAGATCTCAGTATACATGAGAAAATTCATACTGGAGAGAGACACCATGAATGCATTGACTGTGGCAAAGCGTTCACACAAAAGTCCACACTCAAGATGCATCAGAAAATCCACACAGGCGAGAGATCCTACATCTGTATTGAATGCGGACAGGCCTTCATCCAGAAAACACAATTGATTGCACACCGAAGAATTCATACTGGTGAAAAACCATATGAGTGCAGTAACTGTGGCAAATCCTTCATTTCCAAGTCACAACTTCAGGTCCATCAACGCGTTCACACGAGAGTGAAGCCCTATATATGTACCGAATATGGGAAGGTCTTCAGCAATAATTCCAACCTCATTACACATGAAAAAGTTCAAAGTAGAGAGAAATCTTCCATATGTACTGAGTGTGGGAAGGCCTTTACCTACAGGTCAGAGTTGATTATTCATCAGAGAATTCACACTGGAGAGAAACCGTATGAATGCAGTGACTGTGGAAAAGCCTTCACTCAGAAGTCAACACTCACAGTGCATCAGAGAATTCATACAGGAGAAAAATCATATGTATGCATGAAATGTGGACTGGCCTTCATCCGGAAGGCACACTTGGATACACATCAAATAATTCATACTGGAGAGAAACCTTATAAATGTGGTCACTGTGGGAAATTGTTTACTTCCAAGTCACAACTCCACGTTCATAAACGAATTCACACAGGAGAAAAACCCTATGTATGCAATAAATGTGGGAAGGCATTCACCAACCGGTCAAATCTCATTACACATCAGAAAACTCATACAGGAGAGAAATCTTATATATGTTCCAAATGTGGAAAGGCCTTCACCCAGAGGTCAGACTTGATTACACATCAGAGAATCCATACTGGGGAGAAGCCTTATGAATGCAGTAATTGTGGAAAAGCCTTCACTCAGAAGTCAAATCTTAATATACACCAGAAAATTCATACTGGAGAGAGACAGTATGAATGCCACGAATGTGGGAAAGCTTTCAACCAGAAATCAATACTCATTGTTCATCAGAAAATTCATACAGGAGAGAAACCCTATGTATGCACCGAGTGTGGAAGAGCTTTCATCCGCAAGTCAAACTTTATTACTCATCAAAGAATTCATACTGGAGAGAAACCTTATGAATGCAGTGACTGTGGGAAGTCCTTTACCTCTAAGTCTCAGCTCCTGGTGCATCAGCCAGTTCACACAGGAGAGAAACCCTATGTGTGTGCTGAGTGTGGGAAGGCCTTTAGTGGCAGGTCAAATCTCAGTAAGCACCAGAAAACTCATACGGGAGAAAAGCCCTACATCTGTTCTGAATGTGGGAAGACCTTTCGACAGAAGTCAGAGTTGATTACACATCATAGAATTCATACTGGAGAGAAACCGTACGAGTGCAGTGACTGTGGGAAGTCTTTCACTAAAAAATCACAGCTCCAAGTGCATCAACGAATTCACACCGGAGAGAAGCCTTACGTGTGTGCTGAGTGTGGGAAGGCCTTCAGCAACAGGTCAAATTTGAATAAACATCAGACAACACACACTGGAGACAAACCCTACAAGTGTGGCATCTGTGGGAAAGGCTTCGTTCAGAAATCAGTGTTCAGTGTCCATCAGAGCAGCCACACTTGAGAGAAACAGTGTGGGAAAACCCCACTGAGGGTTGGGTCTGATTGTACACTGTTGCATGCAGCAGAAAAATATGTATATTATTGTAAATAGAAACAGTCACATCAGAATGTCACACATGGCTGTTCTGGAGAGGGCCCCTGAGAAGGCACTGAATGAAGCGAGGGACCCTTCCTACATTGTCACCATCCCCAGTAAACCTTGGGGTATTATTCATACTGACAAGGAACCGAGTCAGTTTGGTGAATAGGAAAAGCCTTCTCATAGAAAACGACAATAGAACACTGTTACCAAATTCTTCGTAAGAAAGATCATATTATGGGAATGATAATCCTATTTACTGTGGATTAGGTATAGTGCCAAGAGTTTGAATGGTAAGACAATATATATGATAGTGATGAATCCTCTGTAAGTTGTTTGTTCCAGAACACACTGTCTAGCAGAATTGTGGGTATTTTCTCATTCTTCTTTTGAATCCAACACAGTTGTGTATATCCAGTTCCCCACTGAGTATTTCTATCAAGCGAGAGATACTGCAATAAGACAAACTCCCTATGTTTTCAGACACAGACCTCAGAGTGTATGTTGAGTCCACATTGTCATAGAAAAAGACTTGCAGACCCCTTCATTATCTGCCAGGACTGTCTCTGAGCCCCACAGGTCCTCAGCACATTGTGTTTGATACCCAGCACAGTGTTTTTTCTCTTTCTTTCTTTTTCTTTTTTTTTTTGAGACAGAGTCTCACCCTGTTGGCAAGCTAGAGTGCAGTGGCGCTATCTTGGCTCACTGCAACCTCTGTCTCCCGGGCTCAAGCAGTTCTCCTGCTTCAGCCTCCCGAGTAGCTGGGATTGCATGTGCCACCACGCCCAGCTAACTTTTGTATTTTTAGTAGAGACGGGGGTTTCACCATGCTGGCCAGGCTGATCTCGAACTCCTGACCTCATGATCCGCCCACCTCGGCCTCCCAAAGTGCTGGGGTTACAGACGTGAGCCACTGCGCCCAGCTCAGCACAGTGTTTTGTACACTCCCACCACCCTCAAGAAAGCCTCTGAGGTTAGAATTTTCAGGTCATCTGGGGCAACTTAAATTCTTCCTTCTGCTATTAAAATTCTTCCCACTGAGTTGCCTTTCTTTTTTTTTTTTTTAATTTACTTGTTGCTGAGTTGAAGCCCAGCATTTTACTTTCCATAATGATGTGACTTTCATAAGTTGATAACTCATGAAATCAATCTTACTTTATGTGAGATATGAGATAAATCATAAATCATATGAAATAGATAACTCATGAAAACTAACCCCACCATATGTTCACTGTGTACTTGTGTCCATGTTCATCCCATGCACCCCACAAGGACCTTGCCTGCCATGTGCCTCAAACATCAGTTCAGTTCCTGACTGAGGGCCTTTGTATTTGCAGTGCCCATTGCAAAGAGCACAATTCTTTATTTTATCTGTGACTTGTCCCTCATGTCTTTTTTTCCATGACACCTCCAAATTTCCAGCCCCTTACCCTTCCTCCTTTATTCTTCTCCCTAGCACTTTCCACCATACTGCCTGGTATATTTTGCTCATTTCTCTGTGGCTTCTACACTAGAAAATATTTCCCTTTTGTTCACCACTATGAGTCTAGACCCATGACTGCCATACAGCAGGCATTCCATAAATGCCCCTGTGGAGAGTTGACCTGTGCTTCTTGCGTGACTTCTGTCTGTTTTTTTCTGTGTTGCAGCATAAGAAGCACTAACAGGGAGAATCAACTTGCCTAAAACACACCAGGCTTTTTCACCTCCAGTCTGTAACTAGGCTATATCCCTTCTCAACCCTAAAGCTAAAAAGTCACTGTAAAACTTTTGGTCTGATGCTAAAGAAGGGAAAACAGGTACAGGAGATCCCATGTGAATGCTTGCTTCTAGGATTCCCTGCCATGATTCCAGAATCCCACAGCTCCAACGTGATTACAAAAGACTCCCTGCTCATTCTTCCTCAGCATGCACAGCTCTGCCCCGTCTCAGTTGCAACTCGACAGAGCCCCACTTACTGCAGAACCCAACCCACACACCTGCTCATCCTTCACTGAGAGGAGTGCCTGAAGCCAATAGCAGGGAACTAGAACAGACATGGGTGGATCTTCATTGGATATTAGCTATCTTGCCCTAGATAGGCGGCAGTGACCTTACAGATGCTGGCAGATGATCTGATTGGATGCGCAGTTGCTGGGTGGCCCCTCTGGAACTTGCAGAATGGTTTGGGGTCAGTCTATTGGCAATTCTGGGAGTGGGAAATATTTGGGCTCTGCAGAGATGGTTTCACCTTTAGGAAGGGCAGTATGGGGAGGTGAAGATGGGGCCCAAAGGGTAGAACATAGTCAAAGGGGCAGGGCCATAATGCCCCTTTAATTCCCAAGCCCTAGTTGGGCAGTGCTTGGTGACACATCCCATTACCTCACCTTACATCAATGTCTACTGAGCCATCATTAGCTCTGCTTCCTCACTTCTTCACAGTATCTGATGGCCCATTACATGCTGCTCAACATCTTAGACCAATGTCTGCTGACCGATTACCTCCCTTCACCTCATCCAGCACTGTGTCTGAAGCTTCACTATTCTTCCTGCAATTCTGGATATCTTGTGATACACTATGATCCCCAACTTAGGACAATGTCTGCTGACCCTCAGGAGGGTCCCTGGAGATCATCTCTTCCTTTTTAACATACCCTAGAACCAAGTCTGGTCCCCTTCATTATTCCCATTTTACCTTACTCCTAAGTGTATCACTCCTCATGAATTCCAGGAAATACGGAGGAAAACACATTTCCCTGTACATGACTTTCAATTATTTGTCCTTTATATTTATTGTAATGTAATATTTTAGTACTGACATATATATGTGTTTGTATACCCATTTATATAAAAGACTAGTTTTTAGAGAAGTTTTAGGTTCACAGCAAAACGGGGCAGAAGGTACAGAGATTTCCCACATATCCCCTACCCTCACGTGTACACAGCCTCCCCCATCATCAGCATCCGCCTTCAGAGTGGTACTTTTGTTACAATTAATGAAACTACATTGACGCTACTGGCCAAAGTCCATGGTTTAATTAGGGTTCAGTCTTGATGTGCATTCTGTGGGTTGAGACAGATGAGTAATGACATGTATGCATTATGATAGAAGGATAAAGAGCAGTTTTACTGTCCCAGTAATCCTGTGTTTTGCCTACACCCCTACACCCCTGCCTATTTTCTTTTTTTTTTTTTTTTTTTTTTTTTTTTTTTGAGACGGAGTCTCGCTCTGTCGCCCAGGCTGGAGTGCAGTGGCCGGATCTCAGCTCACTGCAAGCTCCGCCTCCCGGGTTCACGCCATTCTCCTGCCTCAGCCTCCCGAGTAGCTGGGACTACAGGCGCCCGCCACCTCGCCCGGCTAGTTTTTTGTATTTCTTAATAGAGACGGGGTTTCACCGTGTTAGCCAGGATGGTTTCGATCTCCTGACCTCGTGATCCGCCCGTCTCGGCCTCCCAAAGTGCTGGGATTACAGGCTTGAGCCACCGCGCCCGGCCGCCTATTTTCTTTTGTCTCCATAATTTAGCCTCTGAACCATACAGTGTGCAGCCTTTTCAGATGGACTTGTTTCACATAGTAATGTGGATTTAAGTTTCTTCCATGTCTTTTCGTGGCTTGCTAGCCTTTTTTTTTTTTTTTTTTTTTGCATTGAATAATATGCTATTGTCTGGATGTACTGTGATTTATTTGTCCATTCACCTACTGAAGGACATTTTAGTTGCTTCCAAGTTATGTTGATTATGAATAAAGATGCTATAAACACCTGTGTGCAGGTTTTTGTGTGAACATGACCATAATATTTTAAGGTCATATTTATTGAGGTATAATTTACATACAGTAATATTCACCCAGTGTAGAATTTTCAAAGTTTTGACAATTACATCATGCAGTCAATACCACAATCAAGACAGAGAAGAGTTCCCTCACTTCCCTACATTTCCTCCTATTACTTTTTAGTCCATCCCTTTCCCCACCCCCAGCCCTTGATCACAAGCCCATTTTCTGTCTGTATAATTTTACCTTTTCCACATGTTGTATAAATGGAGATATCCTGTGTGTGTCTCTGTGTATATATGTGTATGTATCTCTCCTTTTGAATTTGACTTGTTTCATTTAATGTGATGTATTTGAGATCCATCCATATTGTTATATGAGATAGAAATGGGAAACAAGGTGATGAAAAGATGATTGACATCTTTAATTATCAAGAAAATGAAAATGAAAACCATATGAGATACCTGTACACACCTTTTAGCATGCCTAACAATAAAGACATAATACTGAGTTGGTAACAATGCAGAGCAATGGAAAATTTCCTGCATTGTTGGTAGAAATGCAAAATGTTACATTCACTTTGGGCAAAAAGTTTGGCAGCTTTTTTTTTTTTTTTTGAGATGAAGTTTTGCTCTTGTTGCACAGGCTGAAGTGCAATGGTGTGGTCTTGGCTCCCCACAACCTCCACCTCCTGGGTTCAAATGATTCTCCTGCATCAGCTGCCCAAGTAGCTGGGATTACAGGCATGTGCCACCACGCCCGGCTAATTTTGTATTTTTTAAATAGAGGTTTAGTTAGGGGTTTCTCCATGTTGGTCAGGCTGGTCTGGAACTCCCGGTCTCAGGTGATCTGCCTGCCTCAGCCTCCCAACATGCTGGGATTACAGACGTGAACCACCATCCCTGGCCTTGGCAGCTTCTTATACTGTTAAACATACACTTATCATATGACCCACCAGTCCCGCTCCTAGGTATTTGCCCTAGATAAATGGAAAATTGTTTATATAAAACTATGTGTACTCAAATTTCACAGCAACTGTATAATTGCCAAAATTAGTAAACAACCCAAATGTAACAGTGGGTGATTAATCAAACATCTATACAATTGAATACTACCCCAACGTGAAAAGAAGTCATTTACTGACACTGGCTGCAACATGGATGAATCTCAGAAGTACTGTTTGATTTTACTATGTGATAATTTAAATGACATTTGAAAAATTATTGGATACTAGATTATAAAAATATAGATTTATGTATTTTAATTTTATGTGTGCATATCATTATACAGTGTATATTGTATTTACAGTATGTTATAGCATATTCTAATATTTATTATACCTTACTACAATAAAATGTTCCCATTTTATATAATATATAGTATCTATTGTATGATTATATAATTTTTATATTTTATATATCAAACTTTCACGTAACATTTCAGTTATTTCTACTTTTACATAATCACATTTAATGTTTATAGTATGAAGTTACAACCATAATAACAGGTCTTAGGGTTCGGACAGCCTGCAGTTGGAGGTGGTCAATATTTTTATTATTTGTCAAGAATCCCAATTCTGGCTGTTTTAGCATCCAGGAAGCTTTCTCCAGCTTTGGGCTTTTGCACCAACTGTGTTCTTTGGGCATACTCTGCTTCCCCAGTGCCCATGCATCGTGCTTTCTTCCCCCATCTTTGAAAAGCATCCACCCACCATTTGTATCTGAAGTAACACATCCTTTGGGGTCACTTGCTGCTGCATTATTTTGTATATATTTGTGTTGCAGGCATCACCATCTGACTTGATATTAAATATTTCTTTTTTTTGGTTTTTCATCCAACCTTTCCACTAGACCTCATGAGACCTGGACTTGGTCTGTCTTGTTTCTGCTGTGTCCAAGGCACCCAACACGGTGCCAGCACAAAGCAGACACTCAGTACGAGCTCGTTAAATGAGTTAATGAATAAACGAGCAAATGAATGAATAAATGAATGAATAATAACAATAGTTTTGACATTGACCAAATGCCCCACACAGATTGCCTAAATGCATGGGGAGGTGGTAGGATTAGTTCCAGGTCCTCTAATTCAAAATCTGATGCACCTCCCCATGCTTCAGCATACCCCAGCCCTAATTCCATGTGTGGGCAGTGCCCAACCACCCTGCCACCCTCCTCCCAAGTATCCTGCCTACATCCTTCCCCAGCATTCCACAAGGTCTCCCAACTCAGCCTCCTCTTGGTCACAGTGGCATACCATGTTGGTGGGGGACAGTCGTGAGGGACCCAAAGGCAGAGGTCTATTGCCATTGGCATCCACCCTAATACTTTCAATCCTGTACCCCATCATCAGTGCCATATGCTCCACCCCATTCACTGGAGCAGCCACTGGCAAATATGGAACCTAGGGAGCAAGAGGAATGTGGCAGGGCTGAGGGTTCTGGGCCTCAGGCACTTCATTGGAAAATGAATGTGATGCAGTGTGGCAGATGTTGACCCTGTGGCCAAAGTCAGGTGAAAGCCGTGATTGTCATGCACACTTGCCCTAATGTCAGAATGAATTGAGCCCTCCACCCTCAGGTTCAATGAGGCTACTGTGCCCATATGACTCTTATCTATGTTATATCCTACCCCACCCTATCCTGCTGCACTCCCCAGTCCCCCATATCATACCACTTACTAACTACAATACTTAATTCTATCATTATGTTGATTCCATTATTGATTTTAAGTATAATTATCATAATTTATAACTAATATCACAATCTTTGTCACTATTTGTTACATGCCTTTAATTATTAAGATACCATGAATAATATATTAACTCTGATGCTAAGAAATCCTGTTCCTTCTGGT